CTGATAGATTGTTTTATCAGAGTTCCTCTCTCCTGGACTGTAGAGAAGGTAGCACATGAGGAAAATCTGTTTTGCTGAATTTGTCTTTGCCAAGAGTGTGTTTATCGGATGCTGCTACATTGAAACATTAGTATAACATGATTAGTAGTTGAATATTATATGATAACTATTTCAATATAGTTAAAAGTTGTGCCAATTCTTCTTCTTTTGTTTGTATTTTAACCACGTTGTAAGAATAAGATATGCTTTACATACAGCCAAGTACTGGACTAATTGAACCACATCTGGAACACAGCGCATTACATTTGACTCTAAATAAAAGTTAGAGTCTGGTCTATCTCTTTGATATATTTTGAGGGGTTTCGGTCTAGTCCAAAACAGGGCACACAGCAAAACAAAGCTTGGCTCCAAATCAGCTGTTCCCTTGTAAAGTGAAACACTGCTTCCCTCACTCATCAGTCCTTCATAACTCCCCTTGCAACTGTTCACTACTGTAGTAAGTTACATCGGTAATGATTTCTTCAAGTGGATATGCTGTTACTTGAGTTAGCTCTTCAGGGTATGACACAATTTTCCTTGATTGGTGAGAATAGCAGATTGCCACTATTGTAAACACTCAGATATACACATTAGCCATGATGACAATTGCTTAGATATGTTACAGTAATCAATTATATGAATCATTGAATATCTGATTATTTTGTTATTCCATACACCATAATTTCAATCCTATAGTAACTCGCCATGCCAAACAAATCCATCATTGCTGTTTCATAAGATGTGAATGTCTTGACGTATGGAATTGGTAGAGACATGTTCAGAAATTGATTATAGCTTGTTATTGTGTGAATAACCCATAGGAACCTAAACCAAAAGATATGATACTTGTCCTGAACAGTGCCTTTGGGCCTAATTTCAATAACATAGTTGAGCTTCTGTGAGTAGCTGTACACTTTTGGAGATCACTTTCTGCGGTGCCATATCAAAATTGTCCATTCTTAGTAGTTTGGGATCATCTCAACATCTGCTATGAATATCTGACTCCATTTCCATTGCTGTAACAGATACAGAAGTAATTTCACTGCCAGAGGTGCACTCCTACATAATCCCTTTCAACTAACCACTGCTTTCTTTCTTTCAATGAATTTTTAAATCTGATTTCAACACTGTCCATGAATTCTCTCAACATTACCAATTCACGAGGAGCTTTTTGCACTTCCTTTTGGCAGTCTTGAAATTAATTTCTCAAAAGTGAAGCAAGTTGATTAGCCAAGATGTTCCCCTTTCAAACCCACAGGGATTATTGTTTACATAGGTACGTTACTATCTTCGCTCTGGGGTCGCACTCTCATCTGAAACCGATAGTTAAAGGTTCAAGTCTCACACATTTTTGTGAAGGTGTTACATTGTCAATTATACCATCTTTCAGACCTCAAAGTTAAACTGCAGATCTGTCTGTCCACTTCACATGTCAACTATGGCTCAGTGATAGTTTATTTGCCTTTAACTAGAAAGGTTAGCGATTCACATAATACTACAGGGATATGAATACAAAATTTAATCTAATACTTCTGGGCAATGCTCAAGGAATGCTGTAGAGTCAGAGATCCTGTATTTTCGAAAAAATATTAAAGAGCCCAACAGCCTCCTCAGATGGAAGTAAAATATCCCATTGCCTCATTTTACTGTACAATAGCAAAATTCCCCCAATGTCCTGAATAGCATTTTCCCTTAGCTAACTCCACAAAAACAGATGCACCAGACATTGATTTTGTATCTGAACGGTCTGCTGTGTTTGTGTACAACACAATCAATTCTCTATCTCAAAAGTGCTTCTGAACACATAGTGCCTGTCAAAGGCTCTGTACATATGCAAGTTCTTTATTGTTTATTGCACAACAATAAATTTTATTCCTGACAATTTAAAAATCTTTACCGTTTAAGAATTCCACCTCAATTATATTGAAGCAATGAATTACAGAACTTGAATATTGCTGAAATGAGAGACATGTTGTTGAAGCTGTTCATCTTGCACACCTCAGGACAAATGCAAGAATTTCAATTTTGATTTAAAAATATCACAGCAATTGATGCAATAGGAGAAAAGGCTGTTGTTTGGTTGACAGGTTGACACTGGCTGCAGCATTGTCATTTAGGAAGCAGTGGAGAGACTCCTCAAATGTCGAGGTAATTTAAGAGAAGGGTACAAAGATCGAACAAAAGTTACATGATTTATATTACAAGCTTGACAGATTATCTTATATTGGTTGCTCATGTAACTATGATCACATTCAGGATTGTTCATCAAATGCTCATTTGTAGAATCACATCCAACAGCAGATGTATTGCTTTGAGTTTTGCATGCGTAAGCTGCTTGATTTATAGTCTGTACTCTGCCTGTTACTAACAAATAAAGGGATATCCAATTTGATTCAATCAGCCTTAATGTGGGCTTAATGCCCAATTATCTGGTATTGTACTGTACTGAAGGTCAACATATTTGGACCTGAAAAGTGTCAGGTCTTCCTCAAATTACTATGGAAAGGCAAGGTCTCTTTAAAAAAATCAAGCAACATATTAAGCAAACCATTTCATACAGCTCTAATGTGAGTGGTATTTTCTACAAAAAATATTGCCATCAGCCCAAAACTAACATCTGCTCAGGACACAATGCAGCCATGTTGTAAATGAATTTCCATACAATTGCTATGGCAGGCATGTTGCCTGTACATTCTAATGATTGGCAGAGTAAATCAAATGGCATGGTCTTTCAATTGCTTCTAGCAGTCAGAGTAAAGTCTGCATTCAACCAGCCATGAAACTCCAAAATAAAATGTCTTCTGCTAGATGCGCTTCTAAAATTGGGAAAGACTTGTGAATACTCCAGTTCATGCTAATAGGTACAATAGCAAACAATTTCAGACAATTAGTTGAGCAGGTAACATGGCTCATTTATTCTTGCTAAAAATGGCATTTAGTTATGTGCAGGGATCCATTCCATGTAAGTAGAAATACAACGTTCAAGCCTTAGGCCTTTTTTGAACTATCTGGGAGCTTAGGGAGCCTATAGTTTCCCACAGCTGAGGCATTTCCATGAAGAAAGAAATCAGGGTCAACTTCCAAGTGATCAGCAACCTTTTGTCCTGGAGAATATATTGCTACAATTGTTTGAAATTTGGCATTCTGTGTTTGCCCTGATGTATACAAAAGGAAAAAAAGGTTCAATTGCATCTCTCTTTCAGAAATATTTAATTCTATTTCAATTTCGCCTTCTGGATCGTAGGTAAAAGGGTGGACCATTCAGACCATTGAGACTGTTCCACCGTTTAATACTATCATCTTTGACTGAGTGCTTCAATACCTTTTGCTCTACCTTCACCCCAATTAATAACCAAAACTGTATCAACTTCTACTCTGAAGATACTCAAAAGCTGAGCCTCTGTAAAACCTCATGTTTTCCCACATTATATTCCATCCATCACATTCATGCTAATTTACCAAGCCTGTCCAAATTGTCCTAAAAATGTTTGCATTCTCCTAATAACAAACATTCTTGATTGCTCTGTATCGTTCACCAAATTACATTTGGTCCCCACATCCAATCACTGATATATGTATAAATAACTGGGGCCCAAGCACTGATCCTTATGGTATCATGCTAATCACAGTCTGCCAATGCAAGGATGACCCATTTATTGCTCCTCTATTTTCTCCCTGTTAACCAATCACCAGTCCATGCCAGTACACTCCTCCTATTCCATGTGCTTCAATTTTGCTACTAACTTTCTATAGGGGAACTCATCAAAGCTCTTCTGAAAATCTAAATATGCTACATCTGTTGACTCCCTTCATCAATTTTGTTAGTAACATCCTCAAAAAATCTCCAAGTTTGTCAAACACGATTTTCCATTTTCAAATCTGTGCCGATTATGCCCAACTGAATCAATTTCATCCACATCTATTTATCATTTAGGTGACATGATATTCATATATTCCTCTGTAAATTGGAGGAAACAGTAATCCTTCACATTAATTACTAGTGTGTTCTCTGAAGCTTCAAGTTGATTTTAATCTGATAATTTCAACATCTTCCCTAATTCAATGATCATATTCATTCATGGAATGTGGGCATTGCGGGCAGGGACAGGAGTTATTAGCAATCCCTTATTGTCTTTGAGGAGAAGGTAAGCCATTTTCTTCAAAGCCAAGTAATTGGCTAAACTGTTTTAGAAGGCACTGAAAAATCACTTTGGAGCAAATTTGCACTCACACGCAGGCTAGACCGCGTAAGGATGGCATATTTCCTTCCCTAAAGGACACAAAGTGAACTGGACAGGTTTTTTTTTAACACATTCAAGTTGTTTTGCGACCATCATTACTGATTCAAGAAGTTTTTAAAGCAAAATTCCAGACATGTTTAATTAACTGACTTTTACTTCTCCAGAGGCTGTGTTAACATTTGAACCCAACTCTCTGGATGGCAACATTTTGCATTTCCAAATTGATCCCAGTAAACGATTTTCCCTCCTTTTACCGAAAAGATTTCATGATGTTCCATTTAAGCTATTTGTGGCCGAAAAATGCAGACTTTGAATTATTGAACAGACTTGAAATAACACTTTTTGCAACTATTTATGTTTCAATAATGAAAGGCTTGGCTATTAAGTTTTATAAACTGTTTTCTTTGTGTCTGGTTAATTTAGTTACAGTGCGGTTTTACTATGTTCCCGCGGAAGGTCACCGTATCTTCGGCAAGAGAGGAATCAGACAAGTTGTAAAAATGCCCTGGAAAGTTTGCTTGACCATCTTACCCTCTAATAAGGGGGTCTCATGGGGTTCTGAGGTCAATCGAGCAGTATCAGGATAATGTCCCAGAGTGGGATTGGATGCACATTGTAAATGATGTTGTTTCCCATCCTGGAAGTGTCTCTCCCCCAGCCACACTCCTGTAGCTCCGCCTCCGGGATGCCAATAACACTGAACTTCAGATACGTCTGATACTGTTACGGGGCGATAAACTAAAAGTGCTACAATTAACTCGCATTTTCCAGCATCGGGGCTTCCTTGGAACATTCAGAACTATGTGAAGCGAGTATTTAAAAAAAATGCCTCGGCTTTTGCTCTTGCTTCTCTGCCTGGTCCTGCATCCTATCTCCTGTGCTAACTGCCCCAAACTTTGCAGCTGTAAAGCGGACGATCGTGTCACTTGTGAAGGCAGCGAAGTCGATCATGTTCCAAAAGGGTTTTCCAGAGGCTCCCGCAAACTGTGAGTACATCACGTTTATTCTGTAGTCGAGGCGGGGCAGCTGTGAGAAAACTGAACCTAAACTGAAACTGCACTTTCCACCCTAACCCTAACTTTCATGGTTTTTGAGTGTCCAAAGCATTCGCTGCTCTGGGAGAGTTTGGGGGAAGAACGGCGCTACAGTGCGACTTTCGTTTATCAAGAATGTACTATATATATGTTGACAACTTATTTTTAAAATAATTTCACTTATCGAAATACTGTTCGATAAACCTGGATTTATAAATGTTTCAGGACAAGGCGCTCAGCTTGTGACAATCCACATGCTTTCAACTGTGATGTGATTTAAACACTGAACCTACTGAAAAGAAAGAACTTACATTTCATTGCCACTGTTTAGGCATCCGGGACAATTAAATGTAGCCACTAGCTACTGGGCAGCCAACCTGGACACTGCAAGTCACCCCCCCCCCAAAAAAAAATGACAATGACTTAAATTATTAGATCATCTTGTTTTAATGATATCTGTTAGGGGATCACTGTTGGTCAAGATTAGAACCCACCTCTTTTAGTCTTCTGTTTTCATCAGAGATGCAATTAAGGGACTGGGTTCTCACCCCTCATCCAAAAGTACAGGCATAGAAATTATCCCCAACAGTGAACCACCTTCTCATTCTGTTGTCTTACTCTTTTACAGTAACTGCTCTATCTTAAATCTGTTGCTTGTTGATCTTGGAATACTGATTTTCTTAGTGTCTTGTCTTCTCAATTCTGTGGAAAAGACTGTACATTAAAAACTCAGTTTGATGAATAAAAGGGCATCTGGCATGATTGTTGTGCGTGAAAAGACTTCTTGACGTGATGCTTCATTGCCTTCAGAGTGGGGCTGCTGTTTAACCTTTAGTGGCAAGTCTTTTGTGAGGCGTATGTCTGTGAAAATAAAGCGACACATGAGAAATGTGTCTGCTTTGAAATAAAACAAAAGTTGTCACCATTTCGAGGAGATGTACTGAAAAAGATCAAATCTCTGCCAATTTTTATGGTTATCTTCTTTCATGTGTTGTGGATATCGCTAGCTAGGCCGGTATTTATTGTTCATCCCTAGGTGCCCTTTGGAAGGAGGTAGTGAGCTATTGCTTTGAACTGCTGTCTTGGGTACACTCAGTGTTGAAGATGTAAGAAAAAGATGAAGATTTCCAATGCTTTCACTAGAAGAATTGTTTTAAAAAGCAAATAACCTGGATTGGAGAAAATGCATGAAGGGGAGAGTTAGTCTGTACTTAGCTTTTTTGTGTGTGTACTTTATTTTAGGATGTACTTACATAATTTGTGTCAACTGGAAGAACATGTTGACTGACTCAAAAATTAAAAAAAAGAAAGATTGCTTTGAGATAATTTGGTTACAGTTTTCTGGATACAAAGAAAATTGACAAAATTTGCCAAAGAAAATTGTTCAAATGCCAGAAATAATAGTTAATAATTAGGATTTTGAGTGTTAGAAGGAAAAAAAGCATCTTTTCACCCCAAGTGAAGTTCTCCAATTTCCAAGGAGAAGAAATTGAAACCGAGTATAAATAGATTGAGGGGAGAAAATTGAGAGATATGTTGAGAAGACTGGTTGATGGGGTTGATGCATTGAATAATCTTCTCTTTCATTTCACATTTTTTTCCTGATTCTAAAATATTATTGGCTTTATGTTCTATCACAATTAAAGCATGGCTAGCGTGTAGGAACAGAATGGATTTGGGATGGGAAAAATACAATTAGCAGTGAATGCATCCAGACTGGAATTCTGCGAAAGCAGAGGGATTAGAAAGCACCATACGTGGATTTTCAAAATTGAACTGTGACACTGAACACGTGATGATGACCAAAATGGAAAAGCCATAGTATCTTGGAAAGAAGAGAAAAAGAGATATGATTTATAGTCAGTTTCATTCAAATGACTCACTAAAAGTAAGTGGCTCTGATGCCTTCATAATTAAACTTGTGAAACACATGGTGGAGTGCATGGATTTTTTAGTGCATATGTTTGTCATTAAAGCTGTTTTTCAAAAAGATTAATTTTCTTCACCAATACTTGGACCAGAGTTATATTTGGAAAAACATTACTTATAAATGAGTTGTCTAAAATGTTTGTACTTCATAAAGAATTTTGTTTTTGATTTAGAAGTGAGATATAAAGTTTCCCTTCAATTCAGTACCTTGTTGGAACTGCAAGTTGACAAGTCCACAGATCCTGCTGGATTTCATTCTGGAAACTTAAAAGAATTGGCTGATGAGACAGTCACTGCATTTGTTTTAGTTTTCTAAGACTTGTTAGATTCAAGTAAGGTTCCATTAAATTACGGTGGCTCAGTGGTTAGCACTGCTGTCTCACAGCGCCAGGGACCTGGGTTTGATTCCACCCTTAGGCAATGGTCTGTGTGGAGTTTGCACATTCTCCTTGAGTCTGTGTGGGTTTCCTCTGATTTCCTTTCATAGTCCAAAGATGTGCAGGCTAGGTGGATTGACCATGGGAAATGTGGGGTTACAGGGTTAGGATGGGATGCCTCTTTGGAGTGCCAGTGTGGACTCGATGGGCCAAATAGCCTGTTTCCACACTGTAGGGATTCTATGATTCAAATGGGAGAATAGATAAAGTCACTCCTTTTTTAGAAAAGGGAGGGAGGCAGAAAGCAGGAAACTGCAGATCAGTTGTCTTAACATCTGTCATAGGAATAATGTTAGAAGCTATTATTAAAGATGTTATAGCAGGGCACTTGGGTACGTTCAAGGTGAAAAAGGTGGATAAAACATTGGTTGGTCAAATAGAAACCATGTTTACCTAATTTATTGGGCCTTTTTGAAGAAGTATCTTGTGCTATGGATCAAGGATAACCAGTGGACGTATTGAATTCAAATTTGCCTAAGTCATTTGATAAGGTGCCACAATAAAGGTTATTGCAGAAAATAGCTAACAGGAAGCAGAGGATGGGAATAAATTTTTCAGGCTGGCAGGATGTCATGAGTGGTGTTAGAAAGGAGTCAGCACCGAGGCCTTAATCCTTCATGATTCATAGAAATGATTTGAATGAAGGGACCAAAGGCCTGGTAGCTAAACATGCTGATGACACAAAGTTAGGTAGGAAAGTGAGTTGAAAAGAGGACATAAGGAGCCTACAAAAAAACATAATTGGTTAAGTGAATCGGCAACAATCTGGTAAATTGGGCATAATTTAGGAAAGTGTGAAATTGTCTGTTTTGGCAGAAAGAATGAGAAGGATGTATATTCTCAAAATGTTGTGAGATTGCAGAGGTCTGAAATATAGAGAGATCTAGGTTTTCTAATGTGTGAATCCGAGAAGGTAGTATGCAGGTACAGGTAATCAGGAAATCTAAGAGAGTGTTGTTCTACTGCAAGGGGAATTGAATGCAAGAGTAAGAAGTTATGCTTCAGTTATACAGGGCATTGGTGAGATCGCATCTGGAGTACTGTGTATAGTACTGGTCACTGTACTTAGGGAAGTGTGTTAATGTGTTGGAAGCAGATCAGAGAAGATTTCATAGACTTAAACCTGGAATGAGTTCAAGTACCTTATGAAGAAAATCTAGAAAGGTTAGGCCTGTGTTCTCTGGAGTTTGGAAGAGTCAGCAGTGACTTAATTTCACCATGTGAGATCCTGAGGTGTCTTAACCAGGTGGATGTGGAAAGAATGTTTCCTTTTTCAGGAAGATCTAGCACTTGGGGTCACAGTTTAAAAGTAGGAGGCCATCCATTTAACACAGAGATGATGAAAGAAAAGTTCCCTCAGAAGTTTGCAACTCTTTACAATTCCCTTATTCAAAAAGCAGGGGATGCAGAAGCTTTAAATACTTTTGGCGGAGATAAAAAGATTTTGAATTACCAAGGGGATGAAAGGTTATCAGAGAATGCAATAGTGTAGAGTTGATGTTGAAATCGGATCAGCCACGATCATATTGAATGGGGAAGCAGGTTTGAGGGGCTGAATGGCTGTTCATATGTTAGTGCTGTTTGAAGCATTCTGTTTAATTTGACATCTGTAAACTACTGTTATCTTAAATTGATGCATTGTCTAATAAATATATTGTTTGTCTTGGATGGAAGTAAGTACTGTAGCATACATAAATTTCATCTGCACAAGAAATTTAGTTATAAGGTTTTACTTTTCCTTCTTCAATGTAAGTATACTTACCATTTCATTCTAACATGATATACACCAAGAACAATGGGATTTGCAGCCTTTAAACTCCCGTGCATCATCAAAATCTTTAATCTTCATTGTGCAAATTTTATATTGTTGAATATACTGTGTTTGCTTACATCTCAGGCAATGCTCCCTTCATTCTCTCAGAACATAATGTGACCAGCTGGCTGAAATTCTTATCTCAGAGATACCAAACTTTACAAGAGTTGTTCCAGTCACCAATGTAGATAAAACTATATGGTACTGTTCCATTTCTACTGACGAGCAATGTGCTTCTTGCTAATTTTAGAACATAAGAAGTCACTCACAATGTCTTTCTACTTATCTCTCCTAGTCAGGACAGTTCTTCCCAGGAATATCTGAAGAACCATTGTTAAGAATGTCTCCTTTGTTAACAGTAGTTCTTAATGATAAATGTGACCAGACACCAGAATCATAGCGTTTATTTTTAGAATGAAAGGAGCATTTATAAATCATTGCTCTGTTCCCAAAAGGTAGGGAAAATCACTTGTACGCAGTTATAAGCTAAATGGCTGGAATAATCTTTTCTTTGGTATTGCTAACCGCTGGAAGAGTAACCATTGCAGTGTTTATTTTAGCAATTATTTAACTTTTACCTAGCATTTTCCACACTGAACTATAAGCAACAATAAGGAGTGACTAAAGTACCAATAAATTATGTTAATCATACATTTTCCACATTTAATTATAATTGTCACCTGGTTACAGTGAAACACATTTGTAAGTTTAATTTTGCTAGCACATAAATTATCCATTAGTCACACATCAAATAGCAGTAAAAGTGGATGGAG